GTGGAGTTCTTTGTCTTGTGATTTTGGCCTGTTTTTTTGCGGAAGTATCGCAAATACCGTGTTTTCGTGTTTGATTTATGTTGATTTTCCTGCTAGATTTGGAAGTTTTTGTCTGGAAAGCTTGAAAAACTCGAGGTTTTTGCATGGTGGACGTTTCCAAAGTGAAGCAACAAGAAAGGGAGAAAACCAAGGGACATAGCAACTGGTAGCGTTTGAGAAGTAATGCAACCAAAGAAACAGAACCTACAAGCCGCATTCGCATGGACGTCATCATCCCCCCCCATGCCCCCCCACCCCCGCACAGAGCTGAAAGACAAATTGCAAGTTTAATGCTGGCATGTACACAAAGTCGAGAATCGGCAACAACACCGTAAAAACCAATGCGAAATGCGACACATAGGAACAACAAGAGAAACAGCGCATGGACGTCATCATCCCCCCCCCCGCCCCCACAAGCCGCGCACAGAGCTGAAAGACAAATGCAAGTCGAAGCCGGCATGTGCAGAAAGTCGAGTCGGCAGAAACACTGCAAAAACCGATGCGAAATGGGAGAGAGACAGGAAAACATCGAAACAAAAACGATGCGAAATGCAGAGCCGAACAAAAGTTTGCCGAGTGGAGCCCGCCGGCGCGGTCAGTTTTTTGGTAGAAAACACCGCAAGAACCGATGCGAAAGCAACAGCAAAGTTAAATGCCAGGTGAAAAAAGTGCCAAAACTCGAGTTTCAGCGCATGCCGGCAGAGGAATTGCACCACCCCGCACGGCAGCAAACGCAACACCTACCAACAACAACAACAGCAACAACAAAGAACAGCAACACCAACATGTATAATATAGCAATAACAACCAGAATAAGAACCAGAACAGCAACTACAACAACATCCACAACCGCAACCACTGCAACCAGAACAACAACCTTTTCCACAACAGCAGCAACAGCAACAGCAACCACCGAAGCACACCATAGCAACCACAACAACAACACCAGCAGCAACAGCACAACCACGACAACAGCGTTATTAATATCGACGACAAATACAACTACCATACGAGGACAAACACAAACACAACCCTCAACAACAACAGCAGCAACAATAACAACTACAACTACAACTACAACGACAACTACAACTACAACAGCAACAACAACAGCAACAACAACAACAGCAACAACATCAACAACCACAACAACTACTGCTACTGCTACTGCTACTGCTACTGCTACTGCTACTGCTACTGCTACTGCTACTGCTACTGCTACTGCTGCTACTACTACTACTACTACTACTACTACTACTACTACTACTATCACTACAACCACAACAACGACGACGACGGCTGCTACTACTACAACGACAACGACAACTACGAGTTTAGCTTCAACTGCATTAAATTTTCAACTTCAACTACAACGATAAGCACAGTTTAGCTGCAACTACACTACTTTTCATCTTCAACTGCAACTACAACAACAACAACAGCAACAGCAACAGCAACAGCAACAGCAGCAACAACTGTACATGACAGACGTCAACAAACAGTAGGCACTGCACCACAGCAGGAGACACACACAGCCAGCATCTTGTGTGGGAAGTGGGACGCGGAGCCCAGAAATCTAATCAGCGAAAAATGCGCACGGCACCAGAGCGGGGAGAGAACAGCCAGCATCCTGTGTAAATAACTGGACGTGGGAGCCAAAAAAAGTTACTAAACAATAAAACGGACCGACACGAATCTCCACCCAACTTGAACTGCCTCAAGTCACGAACCCTGAGCCTTCAAGTGTGCGAGTCGCAGGCAAGCTTAAGCCAAATCCGATCGAAGCAAAATCCCAAGTTTCATTCTTTCATCATTCGAGCTCAGTCAGTCGAAGTCCTCGCGCTGTCCGTCGCTGTCGCTGCATGCTCTTCAGGGATGTGGGGCTGGGTTGTCTGCCAAGTAAGGAGCTAGCTTGGTGGCTCGCAGTCTCATAACTCGACGACGGTCCTTAATCGCAGTCCTTCATCCCGTACTGGCCGTGGCAAGGCTTGATGGTAACATGTACATGACCCCAAAACATACGAAGATTTGGGCTATGATTGCTACACCAAGGTCATCGTTCACACCGACTACCCACGGACCCAGTCCGACTCTCAGTTAAACGGCGAGGACAGCGAGAACTTGGGACAGGGTTGAAGGAGTACGGGGCTTGTCTTCGTGGATTGTGTTGGGTTGACTCAAGTCCGTCGGTTTCGTGTTTCCGGTCGAGGATTCTGTTGGGGTTGGGGACTACTTTAAGCTTTCGGGAACCGCAGAGAAGGAGGCTCGGGACTGTCGGCTGTGAGTCCAAAGAAAAGTGCAAGGCTTGTCAATTCAATTTGTGTAAGCATTTCGAGGGTCGTGTTTGGCAGCTTTGGTTCCCAGAAGGTCGCTGCGTTTTTGTTTTACTTAGGCCACTACCACTACACTAAAATTCAGAGGCAGCTGTGTCACAACCGATACCTGAAAGCCAATCTCTACAGCCAAAATTACATCCACGACCCGCAGCATTGATGTAGCAAACTCTGAATGGCGCAAATGGAGTTATCGCTACTGCCACGCGGTTTTCGGGAACCCCAAGTCGTGAAGCCTGAGCTAATTAAACAAGAGAGCCGTGCTTTTGAACCCTACAGAGCTCGAGGATTTCTGTGGTTGTGCAAATTGCTTGCTCCGATGGCGCCACTGCCGCGGCTGCTGCGCGCTCGGCTTCTTCAGGGAGGATTCAGGGTTGGGCCTTATGAAGGATGCTTACCTGTTATCTTACGAGGTCGAAGCACGTAGACACATTCTCCATTAGAACGATAACGAGCTCTGCACCTTTGCACGTTTTTGGCACGGCTTGTTGCTGTCCACGAATTTGTCGCCACAGAAACCCCAAATTATCCCAAATGCCGGGATGGCCTACGTAGTACTAAGACCCGAAGAGAAAGCCGAACCGCGAAAACTTCGAAAGCCTCGACAATAAAGCTTCAGAGGACGCACCTTCAAAGCGCACGGGTTCCTTTAACTTAGAATCCCCTGTTTTTTGGACCTTCCACATGATTCCGAGACATGGTAGGTGAATACATGGTAATAAACGTATGTTGATGCGAGCTTCCTGTAGGAATACTTCGGACCTAACGGCAGCATTGATACAAGGCTTTTAATAGAACCCCAAGCTGGGACCTTGGTCTGTCGCGACATCACGGAGCTCCTGAACCCGTAAGGCGCCGTAAGGCCTGCATCCGACAGAAGCTACCTGAAGCCAATACCCCAACACCGCTCTTGAATATACCTAAACCCCAAACCCCAAATTTGTATCTGAGCCTGAAACTCTACTGTCAATTCTCTGCTAGGCTGGGAATGCAGCTTTCCTCGCCTTACTGGATGCAGGCGCCCGGATTATAATTTCTGGGGAAGCCTTGGACGGGGACGGCGCTGCGGGCCGGGGGACGATGCTGCCGTTCGCGGGACGACACTGCCGTGGACGGGAACGGGGCTGAGGGGAGCAGCGTCGTGGACCTCGGTGGCAGCGGTGCGGCATAGTTGTGCAACGAGAGCACAGCTTTGCGTTCCTCTTCTGGGCTAGTTATTATGCTGGGCTGCGCAATCGAATCTGCCGATGTGAGCAACACTATAGATACAATAACATCTCGGCAGCCCTTCTTGGGATTTCCATCGTGCCTAAAGAACGGCTTGACCATGTGTTGGGGGGCAGTTCTGCCATGAGCGGTCTTGGCAGGGTTTCGAGTGTGTAGCGCAGCGGTAGCCTTTTTTGAAGGTGCTCGGGTGTTCGCATTGTGCTTTGAAGCTCCACTTGTCCTGTGTCGGAACTTCCGGAACAGGTTGTTGGGAAACAAAGGGTTCAAAGTGGATACGAACGACAAATCTTCCCGGATGCGGCGTTGCCCCGAGTACCGGCATTTGCAGACCTCTGCTACAAGCTTATGTTCGAAAGGGACCTAACTCTGCGCATCCGTAGAAATGTATACCGCCGGTTGTATCTGCGGAGTTCCCGGCCCAAATGGCTCAAGCTTCAGATTGACACATTTATGGAGCCAGAAGCTTCTATGGTCCAAACTGCCTAAGAATCAGCGTAAAGCTCTCCAGAAAGCATTGAGAATGTAGCGTGGAGCTAGGTAGGTGAAATCTCAAAGCGGAGCTGGGAAGTGACAAATCGCAGAAAGCACGTGATGAGCAGCAGAATGGTATAACGTGCATGTACTCTGGGCCCATGTGATGTTTTTGAGCTGCAGACGATTGGCCACTGGACTCACATGAGCTTCTCTCGTGCCGTTGCTCGGATGGTTTAGTATGACATGCTTACAGTGTATGGGTGCTGTAGCAACCTCAGTACTTTCCAGCTCCCGTAGCACAAACCATCAGGCTATCCGACTTCTGCAACCTGAACCTATAAATGAAGCCCTAAATCCGCAGCCCACAGCATATCCAAATCCCAGGTTGCTTGCGCATCATGGCTTTTGCTTGCCTTTGTGTTTTGGCCCATGAGCTGGATGGGCTCAATCTTGCGCCAGATTCGACTGGGCACTCTGTCGGAGCTGTACTAGACTTACAGCAACAAAGGACCAATAATCATGACACTTCTTGATAAAAGTACCATCGTAATTATGGCGATTGTCGAGTATATAGGGTCAAGGTTCAAGATTTCTGGGTGTAAGAAGACTTATGGTGGCAAGTGTTGCGGCACCTACAGGAAACACATGTAGCATGCAGCATGGACATACTGCGCTGTAGAACTTTGGTAGCTCCAGTTTAGTTTGGACGGAAGACGCAGGCAGTACATGACAGCGGGACTCTTTGGACGTCTCCAACCCTGAACCATGAAAACCATATCCTTGTTAAGAGCTGGGCGGTCAATATACCCAGGCGATTTGCGAAATGTCCCAGCCGCTGACAACCTGGGAAGGCGTATCACCAGCCCAACCGGGCATAGTGTTGCGTGCTTGATCACTGACAGAACCCATGCAGGCGAGGTCAGCAGAATGGGAAATGTGACTGCCCAAGCAGATCTCTTTGTTTGCGCCGATCCGGAAGATCATGGCATGTTGAGACTTGCAAACTTCTCCAACCTGGTGTCCTACGGAACATCAGATCAGGATAGCGGCTACCGCTCAGATCTGAAAGGAGCAAAAAGCGGACTGGCAGAGTGGTGGCGCTTGCAACAGTGTTGGAAGCGCGTGCAAGACTTCGAGGAACACCACGGGTTCAGATATAGCTTCTACATGAAAACACACACCGGCTGCGCACTATACCATGCGTGCCACCCATGCTTGGGCACATACCAGGCCGGTCTGCTCACACATCATGTCTGCAGGAGAGGTAGCAGATCCTGAAGCCATATCGGAAACTTCTGTCTGCCACAATCCGAAGGCGGCACGCGACAAGTATGGCGCCCAGTTGGACAAGGTCTTCTTTGCCAACAGGGACCATGTCTTTGGCGGCTCCCGCCGAGGATTCGAACGGGCAGCAACGATGATGTCCCGGATTGAGAGTGATTACTTCCGCAAGACGTTGACCACGTACTATCCGTTGGATTGGGACCTGGTGCTGAATTCAGACTGGAACGGTCAGTTGCACTGGTCGGGCATTGTCTTCCCACGTGACGTGCTAGATCCTGAGCGCCTTACCTGAAGAGATCTGCTGGTGCAGGTCCAGGCAGGTTCTGATAGCACGGAGTCAGGTTGGGGTGGTCTGAATTGCGCTCATGTGCCGACGATAAGGCTGTGATTCTGGTATTGCTTCAGTGCAGGGCATTGGTTGTTGAGAAACCGCTGTAATCTTGCTTCAGCCTACAAGTGAAGACATGCAGGTTAACTGGGATTGAGGATGCCTCTCCAAAGCTGGTTTGCAACAACCGTTTGCATGTTGAGCAGGCGTTCAATCCTGAAGCCTACATGTAATGGGCTGCCGTGCTCACCATGTTCTCCATAGTTGCGAGATTGGGCACGGTCAATGCCATGCTGCCTTGAATATCAAAACTTAACCCCTGCCCCCCAGATCTGCTTAAGGGGCACCGTCTAAAGAGCACACGTCTTCTTTGGACGGCCCGAGACCACAGGTTGTTTAAGTGGTCGGGCTACCGAAAATATCCTTCGGCTTCAAACGGAGGAGGTATAGTAGGTCCCCCAGCAGCTGTTGTTGGGATATACGTAATTTGCATGATTTTGCATGTATCTATATATATATATATGTGTATACGTATATGCGTTTAGAAGCTCTGTAAAACCCTATGGAACAGCGTCAAACATGCAGTCTTGGGGTATCCCCCCCGTGGTAGCAGCTGTATGAGGAGATCCTCGTGAAGCGCTGCCCTCCCATCCCTCGGAACTTGAAACATCCGAAAGCCGGAAAGCCTCACCCTACCGTCACGGCAAATTCCACACCCATACTCGACGGAACTGCATTAGACTGAAACTGACCGCGAAAGAGTTTCACGTGAAAAGAGCCGATTCCAGATGCATCGTTAACCCAGAAGCAGACCCACAAGCCTCGCCAGAGTGCAAACTTCTCATGAGCTGAGGCATTGCTGCAGTCAGCAGGATCTGGAGAAGAAGCTGGCGCAATTGAAAGAGTTCGATAAGAACGGCACGCGCGTGGATGGCAAAGTGTGCAACTTGAAAGGGCAGTGTTCAAAGGGGCGGAATGGTACGCATGAAGGTCTCAGCTCTTACAGCTTCGCTCCGGACACAATGCGGTTCCAGTCTGAGGTATCTTTCCTCCTTGACATGCTGCGAGGTGGAATCGAGATGCATGACCTTGCCGGGCTATCCAAGAATCTGACTCGTTCTGAGAACAATCGCGCAGGCTTGTACCCAGGCCGTAGCCCGTCCGGGCACAAAGTTGCATGCATCTCTGGCGATATATTGGAAATAACTCTGATTTACTTTCTCTCGTCGGTAACCCATAATTAGCTCCTCATTCTGCAAAATGCATCAAAATGCTAAGTTTAGGTATAATTTCTGGAAAAATTCGTGGCAGCGACCGCAAAGCTTTCGATGACAAAGCCAAGGCTCAAATGAAGGCGGTTACAGCAGGCACAGATCTCTTTGTATGTGCTGACCAGGAGGACAAAACCCCTGAGCCACGACCTACATGACCCCTAGACTCGGCGGCTCGTCCAGACCCCGATCATAGTGGCCGCTACTGTAACCTTGAATTGTGACCCAGCTAATCTACTCCAGTGGCATATCATGGGTATAGTTACGATTACTTCTGGTAGTATGGCTAGCGTATGGTGTCACGAAACTCTTGGCCAGGAGACTTCAATATACATATATATATATATATTATTGTTATTATTACTATGATTATTATTATCATTAATATTCATATTGATATCAGTATAATGTTAGATCACCTTGTGTATCCGTGTATAGCCCTCCGAGCCCTAACTGGAGCATATATTCTCGGGGGACTCCCCTTCCTTTAGGGGGAGCTAAGAAGCAATCCTGCGCCCACGTAACCGAATCAAGAGGACCGCATTGAGGAGCAATTTCGGAACTTTACCAACCTCGTGCGATACAGGACGCGAACATGGATTTGCAATGGGACTTAGTCATGCTCGAGGGGTTTAGCAGTCTCGAGTAAAAAGGTGCGTTGGTTTCAATGCTGTGACAGAATCCTGCACCGTCGGCTTAATGGAATGCAGGACGGCGGAGGATGACGGGGGGTACAAGGCAGGTTAACAAGGATCCCCAGAACAAGGTGTCGTTTCGAGTTTGAGGGATATTAGAACAGGGTTTTGGCACTGTAGCGACCATAAGGGGATCATGCTGTTAATCCGTAAGGTTCAGGCCAGGCTGTAGGGTTGAGGATTTTGAATTTAGGGTGTAGGGTATGAGGGCGTGTCCCAAGTATCCCCAAACAGACCCCTAATCCCTCTGACAAGGAAACCACAGAAGGGATTCACAAGAGTTTCGTAATTTGTGATGTTTGGGGGTGGAGCGCCATTCAGGGTTTTGGGTTTAGGGATGTTGGGCGGCCCCCTGTACCAGGCAGACTTGAAGAACATCGATCAGCCTATGCGATATCATGAGCCTGGCACCCCCCCCGGCCAGAAGTCAATACAGTGGTGGCGCTTGCAGCAGTGTTGGGGGCTAGTGCAGCAATACGAGAAGCGCTTTGGCTTCAGGTACCTGTGAAGACCTTGAACATGTTTTTTTATTGGCATCTTTTTTCATATTAATTATAGACGCAAAAGCCCGATTGCCTACCGCACCGCACAATTGACATCGGGGTTCAGACCCAGCGCCAGGTACGACTTTTATTACAAAACGCGGACAGATTGTGATATGCGTGGGGGGTGCTACACGTGCCTGGGCGCGTACGAGGCGGGTCTGCCGACAGTAAATAGAGTCGTAGGTCTTAAGACACCACCTGGTTCTTCTTCAAACGTGGCTTCTTTAACCCAACAGCATGGGTGCCTGAAGCCACATAGATCCTGCATAAGCTGGGAAAATCTAGGGATTTTGTTGAAACTACGGATCCAAAAGAGGTTTTGGGTTGGATTTTCGTGGGAAGTGTGTGGCATTGGTGTGGCGTTTCTCAGAAAGTGGGATTCTGGTGGAAAGTGTGTGGGATTGGAGAAAGTCGGAGTTATTAGTATTTTTTTGGGGTGGGGGGTCGGCGAGGGGGGGTTTGGCTTGGAAGCCCAACTTGAACCTCGCCGAGGCGAATACAGTAAACTATTTAGGTTTCTGCACCATGAGATATGTGTCAGCCGCCAGGCGGCCACCAAAAAGTATGGTGCCCAGTTGGACAAGGTCTTCTTTGCCAACAGCGACCGTGTCTTTGGCGGTTCGCGTCCAGGATTCGAACGGGCAGCGACGATGATGTCCCGGATTGAGAGTGATTACTTCCGCAAGACGTTGACCACGTACTACCCCTTAGATTGGGACTTGGTGCTGCGTTCAGAATGGCGTGGTCAGTTGCACTGGTGGGGCATTGTCTTCCCGCGCGATGTGCTTGATCCTCGGCGCCTCGGCTGAACGACCTCTTGTGAAGACTATAACGGGGAAGGAGACTCCCTTAACACAATTGCAAGGAGGTCGGCCAGCACATTGTAATGCCGTTGCCGCTTTCACGTGAGGTTGAAAACTCGTCATTATAGCTCCACAGACCTTGTCAAAGATGAAAGAAGTCTCAAAGACAGTTCTCAAAGCCCTAGACTGGAAGTGGTTTCTGTGATGCGGGGGGTATCCTGAAAGTTATGTGTCCTTTTTTTCGGGCATCCTGATGCTACGGCTGCTAGGCTTATACTGCATTGAGGTCCGTGCCCTTCTTCCGTGCTTCTGCATTAGGGTTTGGGGTTCAGGGACTAGGACGTTTCTGGGACGACCTCCTCAGTGTCCCTGTCATGGAAGGTAATGTGCGTAAGCCATGTGCACACTGAATTTTGCGACGAGAGATTTTGGCCGGTTTGTCCTTCGGAACAGACGATGGTTTCCACGACTTGAAAAAGCTGCGTATTCCCTCTGCATCTGCAATCTGAATGAACCCCAAACAAACTGCTTCTAATTGTTCAGGGCCCGACTTACGCGAATTATCGTTTTTGCCTAACCTAGTTCGTCTCTTGCTGAGGCATTGCTGCGACTTCAAGCATATCAAAGACAATCTGGCACGGCTGAAAGAGTTTGACAAGAAGGGTATGCACGTGGATGGCAAAGTGTGCAACTTGAAGGGTGTCTGCTCAAAGGGTCCAAATGGGACACATGAGGGTCTCAATTCTTACTGGTATGACCCTGACAGCATGCAGTTTGCTTCCGAAACTTCATTCCTCCTTGACATGCTGCGAGGTGGCTTTGAGATGCATGGTGTTTATTCTTTAGGTCTGAGACCAATCGAATTTCCGACAAGCGGTGCGCCAAAGTGGGAGTTGCGTGTTCCACACAGATGAGCAAGGGGACATCAGAGACATCTCGAATACCGAATTGTACCCACATCAACCTTGTATTCAAAACCTATATAGCCCTAAAACCCTGATCCAGTTCAAACAAAGGCCAAAGCAGTCATTGATGGAACTTTCAGAGGCACCCGCAAGACTCTTACAGACAGCGCCACTGAGACCTTGCCTTGTCAAGACCTCGCAATCCGCATCCATCCCAAACTGCCTCCTGTTGCGATTACGAACTGGTTTTGAGTTGCGTTGTGCATCTCTTCTGAGAGGACGGGATGCTTCTCGACAAACCTCACACATGCGCAAAACCTTGCAACGTCGAAACGCTAGGAGAGGACGACCCCAAACTCCCTTACTCCCGCAGCCTTGGGTCATGTTGGCGTCCTTTCGCCGAGAAGCAGGCGTGGCAATGCGTGCAACCGCCCTGAGCGTGAGCGTGGCCGTGCGCAGTGGCACGACCCCGATCCTATTACTGGACCCTACAGAGGACCCCGCGGATTTCTGGATGGGGATTTCGGAGAACTATAGGGCAGGGAGGAGGAATTAAGGACCCGATTTAACCGACTACTGTAAGTTCTGTATTTTGCGCCCTTCATTTTTTTAGGCTGCATTTCAGGCTCAGAATCGAGTTAGTTCCTGGTTTCCTTGCAGAAACGGGGCGCGGCCTTGCAGGAGTATTCCACTTAGACCCATTCTTCGGGCCAAAATCAAAACGGTTTAAGGTGTCGGGAGCTGTCGGAACGACTCTGTTGAGCAGGAGTTTTGATGAATGAAGGACTTGTTCCTGAGACTTTGCCAGACTTCGATATGTCGAGGTGGAGGAGACCGGCAGTGATGCTTTGATCACCGTGGCCGTTGATGGCAGTCAGGGCCTTTGAAGCAGGGGCTGACTACAGATTCTCGTCCACGTATGGCACCAGCCCTTTCCATTTGTCTTGCCTTTGTGTGGTTTAGACTATTGTCGCGTCGCGGTTCGTCGTGTTGGCTTTTTTTAACTATCTCCAATGGGTGCCGTGAGTGAAGGGCCCAGAGAATGGTTTTGGGAAGTTAAGGGTCCCGGAAGAGAGAGCCGGCGTAGCGAAGCTGGGAGAAGCATAGCGTAGCCCCTACGTCTAGGGACGAGCGCCGTCAGGCCGTACGTGCTCCGTCACGCCTAAGCGTACATTGAGCCCCGAAAACAGTGTGAGGCGGCCGATCAAAGAGTATTCTGTCAAACCGCCTCGCCTGATCAAAAACTCCGCCAAGGCCGTGGGCAAATGGTCTCCTGCATATCAGGCGCGAGCATGGGGTTTGTTCGGAAGAGCCTATATATATATATATATATATGTATATATATATATATATAGCAGTGTAGCTGCAATCTCGTACTCTTTATCTCTCTCTCCCTCTCTCTCTCTATGTATATATATATATATATATATATATCCCACTCTCTCTCTCTCTCTCTCTATATATATATATATAGGGTATCCCCCACCAAGAACTTCCTACCCCCGTTTTGTATCGTAAATACCGTGCCAAACCGACTTTTCCGGAAGGTCAGGATTCTGTATCCCCCATAGACTACCGAAATCAAACTCACATTTCAAGAGAACGTGTCAGTCAACTCGCTCAGGTTTGACGTGAAGTCCGTATTCAATATTTCTCAAAGACTACCGAAGTCAAACTCACATTCAAGAGAACGTATCAGTCAGCTCGTTCAAGTTCGACGTTTCGACGTGAGCACACGCTTAACAGCAACACTGTGCTCTTCCTCCCAAAACTAACTTTTTCTAGGGAAAACAAAAAACAAAAAAAACATCTTTTGGGAGACTATGTGGCCAGACTTGAATTTGTTTTTGCTTTTGCCTAGGAAAAAGATGGTTTTTTGTGGAAAAAACAATTTTTTCCCAGGAAAAAAATTGTTTTTTGTGGAAAAACAATTTTTTACTAGGGAAAACTGGTTTTGGTGTGAAAAACAAACTTTTCCTAGGGAAAAACCAAAACAACAAAAAATAGCATCTTTTGGGAAACTATACGGTCGGACTCCAAAAAGATGATTTTTTCGGGTTTTCACCAGGAAACAATTGGTTTTTCACACCAAAACCATCTTTTTCCAAGGAAAAAGTTGGTTTTTCACTCCAAAACCATGTGTTCCTTGGAAAAAGTTGGTTTTTCACACCAAAACCAGGGTTTTCTAGCGAGGAGTGTGCCTTTCATTTGTTTGCGCGCGTTACGAACAAGTGTTGCCTTTAAGCTTAGAGTATTCTTATTACTGGGATGCTCTTCCGCCAACATTAATACTTTACAATACATTGGGTAGCAACCAAGACAATATTCGGGTCAGCTTTGGGGTCGATAGGGAGCTGGTTATCACAGCCACCACTTGATGTCTTCTAGCTGACTGAAGATGTAAATTAAATATTAAATATCGGGGTCAGATTCTGTGTGGTACTAAGCCTACTATGGATGGCCTTAGGGCTGCAGTCAGGGCGAATATTACGGTCACCATTGACATAACGGCGAATGACAAGGTTTGGCTTGATGTTGTTTGGAAGCAGGAGTCAGCTAATGATCTTCGTCACTATGTTGGTACCTAGTACAGGTTTAACCTGATTCTATATATTTATGTGTGTATAGACACATAAATGTACATACCGCAAACGGGCAAGTCCGACAGCAAGTCTGACAGTGAGAAAGGGGCGCCATGTACTACATGTTGAGGTAAACAAACAAATGCTGGTATAACCCCTAAAAATCGAAGGGCTCTCCTTATCCTTTGGGGAACACCAGAGCGAAGACAGCAAGGATCGCGGTTCTTAATGGAATCCGATTCGTGTAGTTTAAGATTAGCATGAATATGACCGCAACCGTTGAAGCAAATGTTTGGGCAGTATTTAGCTTACATGTATTTATATAACAGTAACTAGAAATGGGGCTTCTAACTTCGGAGACTTGAATGGGAACCCACAGCTGCATCTGGATGCGCCAACTTGTTGATGAGGCCAATGGCCATTATGTGGGTTGCAGTTGAAGGAAGTATCCGGCACAAGGAACAGCTTATGGGCAATTTAAAGTTTGCGAGTAAGGTCCATCTTGGGGGGACCGCAATATCATTACTATCAGGGGACCAGTCTAGCTGATGTATGTGGTTGTATTAACCTTGTATTAACCAACAGCTCGGCATGAGGGTTGATATGGGGATGTATACATAATGGGGTTACAAGTCGACATAACATGTTAATCCATACGAACTAAGACGTGCACCATTTGTGGGTGAACATGAAGTGGAAGACTACTGTCACCATTGGCGCCCATGTAAGGTCTAATGGCAGGGATAGTCTTAGGATATTGTTGTGTAGGAATAAGAGTCAGTCAATGCTCACGGTCATTCATACGTATTGCTCGGGCTTGGATCTGAAACTGTAGTGAAGGCTACGTTGGGAGTTAATGCTCGTGCCCATATTGAGCTTCGGGTATTCCGACAGACAGGACTTTCATCGTTGGGAAATCATATGTCAGAGTATCTGTGAGAAGGGTCACAACAATTGAGAATGAAGGCGGCTGCCGATATACATATGCTGTCCCCTCCGAACTTCAAAATCTAACACTAAGCCTGGATCATACAATAGAAGCCTAAACCTACGAGGATTGCTGGCATTATCGCGGCACCTCCGCGGTAGTTCTTCCGGGGGGGGGTTAGCATATATATATATATATATGTAAATATGTGGCGTGGTAGCCCCCCAAAGCACACGCCTGAGCTGCTCAGGTGTTACATCCAACGTAAATTCTACCATGTGCCGGTGATCAGGGTTCGCCATATATGATTCATGTACGGTCGCACCCCCTACATATATGCACACATTGAACCCGGTTCAGATTTTTAAAGCTTTCATACCACGTTTTTTGGTGTAGGGTAGATTCAGAAACCAGAGTTGAGACCCTCATCCCGAAACCCCGAAACCCTAAAGCTGAAGCCTGATGTAAGACCCAATGTTAAAGCCCCCCAAAAATGTACGTCCGCAACCCGCGCCCTGTCAAGGCCGAATTCCACTCGATGCCCCTACCTGGGCGCTGGCCTCTGGGAGTTTGCTTCGTGGTTTGGTGGGTTTTCAGGGTTTTATACGCGCTACTCAGGACTTACTATGAAGGTTGATGCAAACGATAATAGAAGGTTCCACAAGAAGGGCTGTCTACAAGTTCGTTGAGTGGGTTTGGTATAAGTGTTTTTTTAGGGCTCTAGCTCGATTGACATGCTGATAATAATCAGTTTCATTTGTTTCTCTGTCGCTGAGATCAAAGACTTTAAACTCCACGCACGCCCAAACCTTCTGGTATAGTAGGTACTAGTAACCTTTAACCTTTCTTGGGGTTATGTACTTTAAACCCTACATAATCCGCAAACAAAACCGCTAGTTCCCATGTTGGACAACCCCAGAGCCGAGAGCCGGGACAACGCAGACCCCGCCCGACATTTGCACCGTTAGAAACAGGCGATATGAAACAGTACATATACATATATGTACAAAGTATGGTATGGTTAGTATGTCATGGTATACTACAGTATGGTATAACATAACATAGTCGAGTCTTCTCCAACCATGTAGTATACCGTCCATTCCTCGTAGTCTCGTCTAGTCCAGTTTCGTGTATTTTATCATAGTAAAGAACAGTATACTACACAGTACTGACGGCAGTTCTCATCCCTCAGAGTTATCTGTTGCACTGTCCCCAAGGTCCATGTATCGTTGGGATATGCTTTGCCTCTGGTTTCTGTGCAGGTACCACAACGTCCGGCAAAGTACTGTAAAAGGTAATGGGTGCATAATTTTTTCTGGCAACGTTAGCAACAAGCCGTTCTCAGTGTAGTCTTTGCAGCTCACCAGCCAGTCTTCCATTTCGCTTGACAGTGGGCAGACAGCCCTAAACCCTCCAAGGCGTCAGCCCTAAAACTCTAGCAGCTCTAAGCCTTACACGCCCCATACTCCCCAAATTTCAATAACTTGTGTGAACCCTACACCGAGCATCGCCGCCTCTTGAACTTTAAGGGGCTACGTGTTGACGTGTTGCCGAGGCGAGCTGCCTAGAAGCTGCCACAAAGTCGTGCAAAGTTCTCGAGGCCAAGCAGGTTTGGTTTTAAGGGTCTATCACAGGCTTCAGAGCGCTTCAGGGTTTTGGTGCTCCGGTTTGTGAAAGCAGTGCGTACTGGTTGTAGGTAAATCTTTCGGGGTGTATATAGTATTGGGTACATTTAAGCCTTCGATCGGGTGTTGGGCACCAGTATGTTCTTCGCATTACAATTATACTAGGCAAACGTAGGGTGGCATAGTGGAAGGCGCAATTACCGAAGCAGCCCCTTGAAGCTTGGGCTTGGACGTGTTCGGCTCATTCTGTGCACTAGGGTTAGACTCTTAAACCTTGCGTTGTACCGCCTTGTTTGGAGTCGCTAATTGAATTGAGGTCATGCAGCGGGAATAGGTAAAAGTAGAACAGGCCGAGGCACACTTCAGGGTCGAGGCACCGTTTTAGGGTCGGAGGTTGTTATCGCTATTGCATGTCATCAGCGTCGCCTGCCGCAGCCGACACCGCCATTACCGCCGTGCTGATCCAGCTGCCCTCAACAGCAGCACATTTTTCTGCACGGAATCTGCATGCAGGATAGTTGCTGTGACCGGTTTAGTTGTCTTCAGGGTTTCGCGGGGACCACAGCCACGGCTTCCCTTTCCAGGACCACATGAGCCCTAACAACGCACGACTCAAATCCTAAATGTTGAAACATATATAGCTAGGGTGTGGCAGAGACACAGACTTGTATGCCCACTTGGAAGCGGAAGTGTCGGTATCGGGCTTTTCGTCGCCTGAACGACGAGGATACGAGGTCCGCTCACACTACCCTCATGCACATTTATTGCGTTGGGGGTTCACTCTCAAACTTGAGTATCAGGAGAAGGGATGCCTCAACAACGGGCCGCGGGGGAAGCCAGCATCTGTGGAACACGGCCACGAGTCATGGTATCCGCGCTGCAAAGACTAAGCAGGGGTTTTGTAAAGGATTGAGAACGAAGTGAATCAGCAATCATCTCCCAAACCTAAAACTCGCAACTCCAGAACGTAAACATCAAGCCCGAGACCCGAAGACCCAAAATGTAGCCTTATCCTAGGTCCCTCCACATTCAAGAAGGCCACCCGAAATCCTAAACCCCAAACCCTAAACCCAAATGACCAGCGCCAGTGGAGTGGTAAAGAAGGGCGTATAGACAGTTTTTATGTTTAAGCCTGGAGCGCTGACCTAAACCCCTAAGCCTATAGAAGCTACCCTCAAACCCGAACAGAGCTTGTCAGCCCTAATTAGAAAAGAAACCTCAGCTTGTCTGCAGGCTTTTATCCGCATGAGCCTGCAGAAGCGGCTTGAGACCTTCCTGAAGCCGGGCTGAGCGCCTGAAGCCTCGTCGTTCCGTTAGACAAGGCTTGGGGTTCAGGGACTAGGGTTTAGGGATCTATAGGGTTTAGTGATGAGGCTGTAGGGCTTGCAAGGGCTTTAGGAACTTGAAAAGGGCTTTGTGGGTTACGATAGGGTTTCTTTTTGAGGCTTCGGGTTCCCATTCTACTTCGGAGATTGAGGGTGTGGTTTGGGATTTAAGCTTCGGGGTTTACTTTGCAGGTATCGGTTTTGGGGGTTGGTTTGGAGGGGGCGTTGAGGGTTTAGGTTCAGGGTTTAGATTTAGGGTTCAGGCTTAGGGGTTGCTCTCTTTCTTGGGCGACCGAGGAAAACCGAGTTTGCAAGCTCTTTGGATTCTGCAGGAGCTCTTCAACGATACTTTTAGGCCTGCGCATAAGGGTTTAATCATAATATGTAAGGTCTTGTAAGGGTTTCGCAACGGTTCTGTCAGTGTTGGTACTACAAGGGTTCTGGAAGGGTTCTTCATGGGTTCTATACTGGTTTTCGATGAGTTCCATGATAACGTTTTCCCATACTGGAGTTTCAGAACATGTGCGACTCCTCAGTATCGATCCATATAGTAGAATGTTTCTTCGAAAAACCCCTAAAGGTACTTCTAACATTCAGAAACCCCCGAATGGTCTCTGGAGAACTATCGCAAGCACGACGGCTGCCGGGATCTCGTGCAAAAAGAGCTGGCAAAGGCACAGTCGTCGAACCGGTACGCAGCACAGGTTCTCATTCCGGGACGGAGATACATGACAAATTGACACATACATATGGCCTTGTTGACATATGTATGTGTAGTGTACACCTGCCTGTGTTCGTCTCTGTCAAGGTAAACCGTTCTAATCATAGCAAGGGGTCCTGAACCGGAAGCAGAGGAACTGTTACATTGAAGTTTCGGCCAAGCGTTTTCAACAACTACGCTCCGGACGTAGCCTGAGCCCAGAGGTTTCTCTCTCATGATCGGAGCAGTGAAACATTCTCTTCAATGCTTGGTTCATTGATCCGCGTTTCGTTTGTTTATAGGCTCCTTAGAGGAGGGTGGGGGAGGGTACGAAGGGATCCTTAAAGAACCGTAAGCAAACCTTAGAGAAGGCATTTGCGAGAATCAGGGATTATATACCACATCGTCTACGCTATTGGTAGCCTTGCATCCCCTCCCGTAAGGATACTATAGTTGGGGCTCTCTGAACCTCGAGATATGGCTCAAGCTTTACAGTGTCTCAGGTGGAGTTTCCAGATTTAAAGAGTTAAGTGCCTTCGTAATGTGGATCCCAATCTTGTGGATCTATACTGGGGTCTCTTGCTTCTGAAGCTTCCGGCCTTCCTACATATTTCGCACTTGGTGCTCGCCGACATAGGGGTCTCTTGCCAACGAGCATTGGCACAGGGCTTGTTGCTCATCATTTCGTGGAGTCATCGGGGCGACAGAAGGGACTCACACCTAGTGCTTCAACAAGTAGGTCAACAACAGAATCAACAAAACAATTGGTTCTGTCTATGACTCCGGTGCACAAGCCGGCAAAGGTTCCCGCGCCGAAAACCGCAGCTCAAGTCTGCGAATGCTATAAGTCCCAAGCCCTACGAATACAATCCCGTAAGAATCCCCAGCAGCTTAAACGAACCCTTTAACATCTCAAACATCGAGGATGTCTTCTGGAGCTTCGCCTCGATCGCTGCGGTCGTTTTCGGATAGTTTCCGGAGTTTGCTGTTGGAGGGTTGAGGGTTAAGGGACGCTAAGGGTTTCGAGTTCGGGGTTGAAGATTTGGATTTGATACTTAGGACCGCACACAACAAAGTACGGCTTACGGCTACTTCTGACCTATCGTTCGTTTTCAATCGGCCTGAGACTGTCGTTCTCGTTGGCTTGATGATGCAGACGTAAAACGCACAGCACGTGTTCTTCGGCTCAAACAGGCTGCAAGAGAGATGCCAGGCAGCAACAGGCTTATGTACTTCGTGGTACATGGTAGGCTCATGTGAGTTCGCATCGTCTTGCAGCAGAATAGAGGTCCCGATTATTCCCAAATCCTCACCACAATGTCTTTGAAGCAGGAAAACAGCTGTTAGCTGCATGCAGGCTGCTTTCCTCCGAGACCCTTCCCCACACCAATCCACTCCCCATCATCCCCCCTGACCACCCATCAGTCCCAAATCCTAAACCCAACATCATCATTCCAGGGTTGGATCATGCCCTAAAGCACGTCTTGGATGCTGGCACCGACGTCAGCGCGCCGGTGGGCCAGTGATCCGGAGGAATGCCTCGCGGACTATATGCGCCCCGATCCCTGGAGGCCAATTTGATTATAGCATATTAATTATAGGCCGTAAAGTACCTATGCGGGAACCCCGTGAAGGCCTAAATATTGTACTGGTGGCGATCGCGCCATACCGGGGCTCAGAGTTTGATGTTTTGGGTTGAGGCTTCAGCGTTCAGTGTGTTCCCCGCCACCTACTGTCAAGTCGCGAGAACTGCAAGATGAATTAGCAAGACCTGGACCAACCCGCAACCCTAAACCTCCAAGCCTGGAGCACTCAATAATTGGTCGCTTCACGGAAGGCCAAAGATTTCGCGGAACGGTCTTTATAGAGCATATCAAGTAGTCTTACCGATACTGCCTGTTCTGATCATCTATAGATAAGATACGAGGGCTTGATCAACGACCAAACGTCCTGGTTCGGTGGCAGGTTCTTGGGTTGCATGCGGATGTCTGGGGTGTCGGCGTTCAGAGTTGAACCACAGCTTATGAGTGAAAGCATGCGGGTTTCAGCTTGCTGAGACCATCGGACTTGTAGTGACTCCCCTTGACGGGCGGAGTGTAGCTCTCACTTTCAAGGTTCAAGTTCTTGCTTACCACCCCTTGATCCAAGCCTACAATCCCCAAACCCTGAACACAGAAACCCATGAGATCTTGGCATGAGCCTGGCATATCAGGCAAGACTCGCAGCCGCTGCGGTGCTGACAATCTCTGGCCTGGCACTGTGCACACCCCAGCTCTGTTTCCTAGTGCTTGAAGCAAAGCTCAAGTTTCTGCAGGTGTACATGACGAGGCCCCAACCCACCGCTCCAGCATGAAAATGCTGCGAAGTATTGCATACACGAAACATGGCCGGACGAGGAGCGAATTGTCCACTACACAGAAGGCCACGCAGTAATCTGCCCCAAGACACCCCACAACCAAGACCGCAAAAATCACACCGCCAGCCTTCCACCATAAAGCTCAAGCCCGAGACCTTAGACCCGTAACCGTACGTACCTAGATGCCAAGCAAGCTCGTGACGCTTGCCCGACCACCAAATTAAGCGGTGGCCTACGTCTCAGTCTTGCTTCTCCTTGTTTTGTCGAACCGGCAGCAAGCACACGTATGAGTCCGCATAGATATCTGTATTTGCGTGTATGTGCATGTATACATCTGCACACATGTGTGTATATATATATACATATATATATATATATGCAAATGTGCATATATATATATATATATGGACACACCATTTAGAAGTATCTATCTATATATCTATCTATCTATCTATCTATGTTTACTTGATTATATTTATGATATCTGAACTGTATATAGCATGTACATGTAAGTATGCACACACCTGCGTTTCAATATAGTCTACTCTTGTGCACGCATTCTTACACCTGTTTCTTGATGACTAGCTTTGGTAAGTCTCGGCTTGAGGACCCAGAGATGAGGGGCGCAGCGCTCTCTGGGACTCATAAGGCTACAGCCGAGAAGACAGTAAGAAGACAGGCTCAGACTCTAAGCCCAAACCTAGAACCCCAAAACCTACAACCCAAACAGATCCCAGCCGACTTCGGGTCAGGCTTTGGTTTCTCTTCCGAGACGGTGACGAAGCAGAGAGCGGAGTTAACAATGTGTGGCGCCCAGATCCTGAAACCCAAACAGTACAGAGTTTAGGTTTGCCCGAAGGCTTTAAGCACTTACCTTTATCTAGAGTACCTAGTACCAGCCTTGGGCTATATGCAGCTGCAGCGTAGCAAAAGGGTCGATCCTGATGCCTGCGTGCGCAGTCTATAGATACGTGGTGCCTGCATTAGCGTCATCTCAAAAGCCTTTGGCCCTGTGCTGTAGCTCAGCCTTGGTCGAGGTTTGGTATTTCGTGGTTGAGGCTTGTGACTGACAAGCCAGCCCAAGCATGAAACTGTGATGTTGCTTATGTGCTGAGGAACCCGCCTGCATTCGTGACCTGTACGTTTCTGAACCACGCTCAAGCCACTGTTTTCGCAAGGGGAATGTGCCTGGCGAGGGGCTAAGGACAAGGCTTCAGAGAGCGCGGTGATGAGGCCGGGATGCGGGCTAAAGTTCAGGGAGGGTTGGTTCCTTACCACCAGGCACATGCCACCGTCTGCACCGACTTCTGGGGGAAAAATCCCTACCACTGAACACCCCCAAGCCTCTTCCACCGTACAAGCGGGGAAGGGGGGGCCTTGGCCCGGGTTCGCTTTGCAAACTCTTTCCCAATGAAGTGAAGAGAAGTGAAGAGAGAAAGAGAGAGAGAGAGAGAGAGAGAGTGTGTGTGTGTGTGTTTATGTACATTACGTGCTGCTTCAAAACAATCCGAGACATGTTTGTCGACTCCTGGCTCCTCAATGGTGAGTATTTCGGTGAATCTAGGAGGAATCTGCAGACCGGAGGGGTTAGTCGTTTATTTTTGTGCCAACTTTATCCACACCCAAGCACAAATCGGCAGTTGTCACTGTCCCTGTGAGTTCAGGCAAATTTGTGATGACCGTATTGCTTTTTATTAAGACTTGACTTGGTGAGCACTTCAAGGTGCAACGAGTCGTCCTTGCTTCGCCACGCCCAGGCCTTGCCGGGTGGAATGCGACAGTTTGTGCCGACAGAAGAGTGGCAGGAGGCGGGCACCCTGCGGTACTGTCCTGGGGCCGCAGCTGTTGCAACGACGCCGTCATGATCGAATTTTTTGCTTTGAAGAATGTATATACGCACATGTACCTATAATTGTAAATATAGGCATGTGCATATACATACAGACAACATGGGATCCCACTGTAAGCGTTTGTCCTGCTTCTCGGCTGCAAATCAGGACTTTCGTGAAAAAAGCTGGCAGGCTAATCTGGCACTAGTTGGCTGTGAGTTTCTTCGAATGGCTCTCATGGATCCGTGACTTTTGACAATACACCAGCATGATTTCGTTGATAGCGTTGGCAGCGCCAATTCTCTGGCACTTGTATGCTCCAAACAGTTCACTCACTCGCTTGATTGAAAGACTGCCTGCCTCAACTCACTCGCTCGCTCAACCACTGAGTCACCCACTCACTCGCTGACTCACTCACTCACACTTAGTCACTCACAGACTTCCTTCGCAGGGGAAGGCTTGAGACGCACTCGACGCTCGGGAATCCCACCAGGCTCTTTCTTACAAGAACAACATGTTTCAACGGTTTGGGTGCCTGAAACCCTCTTTCATTACCACAACTCTTCAGCTTCGCAGCAAGAGCTCAATGTATGTATGTATGTATGTATGTATGTATGTATGTACTTATGTATGTATGTATGTATGTATGTATATATGTCTGCAAGAAAGCATGCATGGATGCCTGGATGTATGGATGCATGTGCGTATGGATTGATGCGTTTGTGTGTATATATATATATATACATATATATATATACATATACATATATATATATTATATACATACATACATATATATATATATGTCTGTGTGTGTATGTTTGTGTATGTATGTGGACGTGTATGTGTATGCGTATGTTCATCTGTATGCGTGTGTATATGCTTATGTGCATATACACATATGTGATGTAGTTTTGGTGGTGATTCATAGTTCGTGCTATGCACGTGTGTAGGTAGGTATGTAAGTATGTATGTATTCATGCATGTGTGTACGTATGTACGTATGTATGTGTGTATGTATGTACGGATGTATGTATGTATGTATGCAATGTACTGTACTGTAATGTATATGTAATTGCCCATGTATGTATGTCGATATGCATGTCTGTATGTGTGTATGAACTTATACTTGTATGTATTTATGCATGCATGTATGTATGTATGCATGTGTATACGTATGTATGTATGTACGTAAGTATGTAGGTGTATGTATGTGTATGTTCATGTACATGTGTATGTATGTATGTATGCATGTATGTATACATGTCTGTACGTACGTATGTATGCATGTATACATGCATTTGTATTTGTATGTGTGCATGCCTGCATGTATGTATGCATGCATGTAGGTATGCATGTACGTATTAATGTGTGCATGTACTTGTATGTGTAAATAATATACATACCGAATATGCACATACACATTCATACATACGTACACATGCATACCTACGTACTTACAGACATCCGTGCATATAAATTTTTGCATACGTGCATTACATGCATACATGCATACATACATACATAAGCACATACCTACATACGTACATGCATACATGCGTACATGCATGCATACATACCTGCAGACAGACAGACAGCCAGGCAGGCAGACAGGTAGGCCAGTCAGCCAGGCACAGGCACTCAGGCAGGCAGGCCAGACAGTCACACAGACAGACAAACAGCGACACGCATGCACATACATATATGCATATGTACATGTTCATGTTCATGTCTATATATGCATGTATGTGTATGTGTATATGTATATCCGTGTCTGTGTAATTATATGTATTTGTATTTGTATATGCGCATGTATATGTGTATTTGTATGTATATGTGTATACGTATATGCATCTTTAGATGTATCTGTATATGTATTTTGATATGTGTATGTATATGTGTATGTATGTATATGTTTGTGTACGTGTCTGTGTATATACTTGTGTGTATGTATGCGTGTCTGGATGTGTATATGTATGTGTACATGTATATGGGCACACGTATATGTATGCTATGTGTGTGTATGTATGTGTACATATATCTCTACATGTATATATATATGTATATATAGCCAAAGACGCATGTATATCACGCAAGACAAGCGGATTTTGCATTTCGCGTTTTTGTTTGCAGCTTGTCCGGGGGCTCAATGATTCTACAAATATGAGTTGGTTTTCATAGTTACGTTCGGTCCTGCTGCGGTACCCTCTTGTACAATCGCTCTCCTTTCCTTCTCGTCCTTTTCCTCTTCCTCCCCCAACTCCTCACACACAGAGCGAAGAAACTGCCATATTGTGGTTAAGCGGATTGCGCAACAGGGGATACCAAGCGTCCCTCTGACACTCGTCGTTTCAAGCTCAAGAAGCCTCCGGCCTGTGCTCTGTTCCTTGAACACTGTGCCCCGCGCGAGACTAGGTGCCCAAGCTGGCATACTCCTAGTGATGCTAGTGTCGAGACCTTATGCCAAATCCCCTGATTTTTGAAGGCCCTGGGATTAGCCTTAGATCTCTGTGAGAAGGTGCCACCTGGCTATGCTTGCCCGCCGGGCCTGGAGCATCTTTGCTTAAAGTTCAGTAGTTTCGGGCTTCAGAGTTTCATGGGGCTCGGACTGTTTGTGAACGTTCTCAAGAGTGAGGCAGGTTGAAACTTCAAATCCTTTACCCTAAACCCGGATTACGTGCCTAATCCCATGAACCCTATCATCTACCCTGACCCTGTAAACCCTAAACCCAGAACTACACCCCAATCCCTAAACTCAAAACAGCAAGCTGTTTAACACTTTACAGACTGAAACGCTTCGGGCTCAGAGTGTTCTGGTGGAAGGCAGAAATTTCCATGTCTCATGTGGTGTTTCGCAATTTGGCGTTTGGGGTTTCGGGGTTTCAGAGAACTGGGATTCATGCATGGGCAGCTCCTTCACATTTACTAAACTCTCTAGAGGTAGGGGTAATTACTGAGAGTAACTGTACATCCATGACAGCAGGCATTCATCTTGAATTTCTACACTGTTGCCAATGACCTAGTGGGGAAGAAGACTGCTTGACACGAGGATGGCAATCATATTGAGGACAAGGCTTCCAAGACTGCCCCTAATGTAGGTGCCTTGGTTACTGGAAAAGTTCTGGGTCATCTAAATCTTGCATTCTGGGAGTACCAGGAGCCCGACAGACACGTCTTACCAATTATTGAGGCCTCTACTAGACCCCACACTTCAACCGGTAAAACCACAACTAACCCTGGGAGTTTCAGCAACCTAGGATGGCTCATTTGGGGTTTTTACTGAACAAGGGATCTACTGTACTGTGTCGGGTTCTACATCATGGCAGCGTCCTCTGCCTTCTGAAATCTTCTGAAACTCTGTACACGTTAAGAGTTAGGGGCAAGCATTGCAACGATTCAGGGCCTGATTGGGGAGGATGAAAGGTTTGCCATGATTGTCATATTCTCCGGAATCCTGAACATAGAAGTTCTTACACAGTCTTATGCTGCATCTACGTTGGCAGGGCTCATTTACCAAAGATGGCCCCAGGGTTGGCAATCTTAGGGCGTAAACTCTTCTCCCAAAACCTCTGTGCAAGGTACCGCATGGATCTCTCTTCAGAGAAGAGTTACGCGCGATTGCCTGCTGTAAAAGGGTAATCAAGACACACTGCTTTAGATTCAGATGTTGTTTTGTGGCTTGGCCCTACTATGTTGCGAAGCTATCGGGTTTGTTATGCATTCAAGGCTGAAGTGTCGGCCACTGCACTCATTGCGCTTTTGAGAAAGATATACCCTGGATTTGCCACCGAGCACCCCAAGCGTAGTCCTTGTTGCTGTTAGCCTGCTGCCTTATGGAAGTCGGAAGGCAACGGTGCTGGAAAGAGAAACGCAGAGCAGACTCGATATCTTCTGGAAGCCAGTTTCGCTGCATCCAATCAGATTCAGCGATTCGCAAACCCCTTGATCACCCAAGAAGATCCAAGAAGCCGTTGCTTGAGGCTCAAGTGAGACGGCTCAGTAGAGCAGCGCATCGTACATCTGGAAGGCTCCGCTCTGATGCCCAAGCTCCTGGTTCCCAAAGACTACGACGAGGAGTTGGCGAAGGGAAAGCCGAGCTGGCTGAGGTGAAGTCCCAGGTGAAACAGTTACAGCTCCAGAGGGCGCTGCTAAAGCACAGGTTGAGGACGGCAAGTCGAAGGAAGGACCAGAAGTCGAGTTTGACGTAGACGTGAGCCCTCAGGTTCATGTGGTCTTGTAGTTTTCGTGGTGATCTCTTGGAGCAACTTTTCCGAGAGCGTCTTTGCCTGCGTGCTCCTCATTGTGAATGTTGCTATGCAGAGTCTCTTCACTCTCATTATTGCTTCTCTTGAATTCCTGGGCACAGACTTCTCGGACAATCTGCAGACCGCACGTGTGTCGCGCAGTAGTTGTGCTCATGATGTCCAATACGTCGATCTTGCAGACAAGAGCTTGGTCAGCAGGGTATGCGATGAAGATGGGATCCTTGATCTACTCCACTGTGAAAGCCACATTGGTCAGCCACATCAACAGCAATTTCGGTCTTGAGAAACTTGGACCACATGGATTTGCCGTGACATCAGCCTGGAGTGCTGCTGGCAGTGCTTTGCATTCTCCTTCGGATTGTTGGCATCGTTCGAGAGTTGCGGAGCATGTCTTGTTTGGCCAAATTAAATGCGGACAAGTCGCGATGCCACGCAAGTCGGTGAAGGCGCACAAGCCCTGTCAGGTCGGCGGGCAGCCGCTGCGGCCTTGGCATGCGTGAGCCGAGCAACTGTGGCTTGTGCACTCTTGGTGTCAGGAACCTTGTGGCGGTCACACACGACATCCATCCCTGAGCTTATGCTCAACTCGGTGGCGCTCGAAGCCGTGCTGCACGTGGATGAGTTCATCTTCTCTGCCTTTGTGCCCACGCAGTTTCAGCAGCGAATCCAAAGGTTGCCTCCTGTCAAGATGAGAAAAAGCAGTCACAGACGCCTCTCATGCGGGGGCCTGAATGATTGAACATAATATTCCTCAGGATGCGTCTCAAAGATTGTGGTTTGAGAGTTTTTGTTTCACACAACAGGCGCTAAGCCCTAGGGCCCCAAACTTTGTTTCAATTGCTAAGGCTCCTGTGTTACCCAAAGCATGACATACCTCCGATGCCTTTTTGTGTGCTTCAGCTCAGCGTCTGATGACCACTGCCAAGGCCCTCATGAAGCCCCATGCAGACGCCGGTTTGGGGTTTAGAAATGTTTCAATTTCTGGGATGTCGCGGTCTCTGCAAAGATCTTCCTGGAGCCTTCGAAGCCTTAAGTCCAAGGCATGTGGACTTGGGATGTTGGGATTTCTCCACAGATCCTCATGAAACAAGGCAGGCCCTGAATGCACTGACATAGTTTCATGTCCTCCCAGACCATTCTAAGGCCCCCCAACCTTACACCGCCCAGCTTCAGGGAAGTGGTCCTAAATCTCAAACCCACAGACCACAACACTACTACTAGATCCCCCTCCAAAAGCACCGAAATCGTTTTCAACTCCTTAGGGCCGACCCCTTCGCCCACACCTCCGAAGCAGCCATGTTGGAGCTCAATTCGCCGTCGGAGGACCCTGGAGGCGCCGAAATCCTGCCTTTTCTGGATCAGTAGGGGTAGTGTTCAGGGGTGTTTCCGTGCTTCTTTAAGGCCAGGTGCATCGCACAATGGCTTCATTCGGGTTGCAAGAACGTGCAGTGTATCAACTTCGATTACGACGTCTTTATGATGTTCCGGGAGTGTTGCATGGAGATTTGGGCGTTTGTTAAATTTCAGCATGAGCACTTCTACACTTTGCGTGGCAGGCTTCTCACCCAAAGCCCCAAAGCCCTTAGCCCTAAACTTCAAACCCAGATCCCCACAACCCTAAATCTGCAACTTGATTCCCAAAACCCCGTTAAGCGACTCAGCCTTTAAACACACTAAATCCTGCACCCAATTCCCTGAAACCCTAAACCTTGAGATCAACCGGCAGATACGACAAGGCCGCTGAACCACATTACCTGCTGCCAATGGCGAACCTGCCAGCTACCTACATGAATATCAATGCTCTCATCATGTTGGATCCCGTACCCTATACACTATATACTTCACCCGCAAAACCGTAAGCCGCGAAGCCTAAACCGAAACTTTCACCTGCGGAACCTGCGCCCTGGACCCAGTTGGAAACGGGCTGCACTGAATCTCAGGAAGCTTGCCGGTGGTGCATCTGCCGCCTGCCACCCACGAGGAGGCCTGCTCTTAGCAATTTCATTTTCAAGCTACTCGTGCTGGTTTGTGTGCAGGAATTTCTTCAACATAGCCTCACTCCTTCCCCCCCGACTCCGACAACCCGCAAGCCGTCAGCCTTTAGCGACGTTTGGAGGCATTGCCCTTGTCAGTTTCTTCGTGATGTTCGTTGAAAATTTTGGAGGACTGGCAACACACAGTGTTATCCTGGCTTTTTAATTGTAATTGCATATCTCTAGCAGTATCGGTACACCCGAAAAATCCATCAAATCCTAAACTTCGGGACCCCTGAATGCTTGAACATGTGTTTAGTTTTCATGGGGCAAGCTCGGCCCCTTCCTGTCGATTCCTTCCCCCCCCCCCCCCCCGAATGCAAATCCTCACGTGAAATACCAATCACTTCCAGTGCCTACATGTTATAAGCCATATGAACATCCTTATCAAGAGAAGGGCGCCAAGCAGGTTCCCACTGCTGGCTTGCCGGATGTGGATGACGAGGCGGCTGTGTTTCTTTCCGGATTTACGGTTTTGGTGCCGTTAATCAAAAATCAACACCGCAGGTTCTTGCCCTGCAAGCATACAGCACTCGAGTTTCGTGACGGCATCGACGTTGCATCCCAAGGAGGCCCCAACTGTGACGGGACATCAAAGACCTCGTCTTGCCTGTAGTTGGTACTCTTGCTTCTCGCCGTGATAAACCATGGCCTGATAAAAATGACCGTGAGGACGAACAGCACCCTCACCAGCAACGCCGTAACCATCAGAATCATGGGAGCCATTGCGTGAATAAGTTAAACGAAGCAGGGAGCAGGATGGTGGTGGCGGTGGTGGTGGTCGTGGTGGCGGTGGTGGTGGTGATCATGGAGGTAGGGGTGTTAGTCTTAGTTTAGTTTGGTAGTCATAATTAGCAGTATTAGTAGTAGTAGTAGTAGTAGTAGTAGTAGTAGTAGTAGTAGTAGTAGTAGTAGTAGCAGGAGTAGTAGTAGTAGTAGTAGTAGTAGTAGTAGTAGTAGTAGTCGTCGTAGTAGTCGTAGTAGTAGCAGCAGCACCACCCCTACGAACAATGGTCCGGCCGGTACCCCGATAGAAACCACATAGCAGGCCACAACACCGTGAATTTGTGATGTGCAGAGAAGCTGCTGCCTCCCTTACGACTGAGTGGTTCGATTCCCACGATGTCAACTGTTCATTTTAGCACTAGAGCACAAGCGTGTCTTCAATACGAACAAGGCTTTGATCGTGTGAAAAACGGATCCAGAAGATTGATCACTGTCCGGCATGCAGACCTATTGCCTTTTCTTGCTGTGGGGGCTTATGGTAGGTTTCCCTGTGCTTGAAGCTCGCATAGCAACGAGACTGTATCACTAGGCCTCGAAGTCCTGTGTTCGCGGTAAGCCTCCGCTTTGACTGAGCGTGCCCAGGAAACGACGCCCAAGTATGTAGCCCACATCCCGATACCCAAGCACGTCTATCTGAATCCCAAGCTCAAACCTCAGACCGGAAAGCCAAAAACGATGCAGCAGGTGCAGGGACCACTGTCATTTCGTGCCGGGGTCTCAGTTGGGGAGGTCGTCGTCACTGCACTCGTCGAGGCTGCCGTCCTACATAAGCCATGGTCGTCTTCTTCACGCCGTCTTCATATCGTCATCATTAGTAGGATGCAGCATCAACTACCACCCATCGTTTTCATAAGCACCATCAGCTTCAATGACAGCCGCAGCCACAACATCTTATTTACCTGTTTGATTCGAGCATCCTGACCATCATCAGTAACATGAGCATCAACATCAGCCTGAGCAGTATTGCAGTCAGAGTCGTTTGGCAAGAGCTCCACAGTCAGTCATCATATGAGGCAGGTTTGAACTTAGGGTTTCGGGACGTGTTTGCAGGACTCCATTGGATTATTGTTGAGCTCAGGTTTTGGGAGTTGTGTTTTTGCGGTCAACTAGTAACTAGTAGTCTAAAAAGCCCCGCATCATACGGTTCCAGCTCAGAGGTCTGTGGAAGAAATAAGCGGGGTTCGGAAAATGATGCATCCTTCATAGAAGCCCTAATTTCACTTAATAGTCAGGTCTTATTGCAGTAAATCAGGCACCCCTGACTTCAAGAAGCCCCCCTTCAAAACGATCCCATAGGCCCTTAAGCCCGAATCCAGGGCGTTCGCCCACTCGAGAAAGGGAACCACTGGCCCAGCGACGTTGGCCCGGAGCCTGCTACAGACATAAATCCGCAATCCAACCCTACACCCCGCTGCCCTCCTCAAAGACGAAAGGGTGAAATCAACCAGACCAGACGAGAACAAAGCGCAGGCGAGGCAAAGGAGAAACAAACATTACCAGTAAATTACAAGCACAAACTTAAACATCAGATCCAGACGAAAAGACAGTACCGAGACAGAGTTGCAGAGCAAACGCAAGAAATTCAAAAGACAAAGTAACCACCCTCACCCACCGCCCACCCACCACCACTCACCACCACCCACCACCCACCACCACCCACCACCACCCACCACCCACCACCACCCACCACCACCACCCACCACCACCCGCCACCACCCGCCACCACCCGCCACCACCCGCCACCACCCGCCACCACCCGCCACCACCCGCCACCACCCGCCACCACCCGCCACCACCCACCACCACCCACCACCTCGCACATGCACAGGCACAGGCACACGCACACCCACACGCACACGCAAACGCACACGAGCGCGCACACGCAAACACAAACAAACGAACAAACAAACAAGCAAGCAAACAAACAAGCATACAGGAGCATCTTTGGGATCGGTTCGAGCTCTTGTGGGCCCGGCGTGTGGCCCCGAGCCGAAAGATGTTGGAGGCTGGACCTTTCACCACGTTTTTAGAAAGGATTCGGAACGGCTTGCTTGAATGTTCTATAGAGCCTATCTTACTGAGGTTTTCAGGTTTTGTTACCTTATGTTACATGGAAGGATTTTGTATAGGCCCAGGAGTCGGGGCACAACTGCTGCAAGTCTTTAAGCTTGCCCAAACAAGCCTTGAACCCTGGACCTTAATCTCTGAACCCCAATACTTGTTCATACAGCGTATATGTCATATCGACCGATCGATCGATCAGTCTGTTTATCTATCTATCTGTTTACCTATATGTCTTTCCATCTCTCTATCTCTCTACCTACCTATCTACCTACCTGGCTGTCCGTCTGCCTCTCTCTCTCTCTCTGTCTCTCTCTCTCTCTCTCTCTCTCTCTCTCTCTCTCTCTCTCTCTCTCTCTCTCTCTCTCTCTCTCTCTCTCTCTCTCTCTCTCTCTCTCTCTCTCTCTCTCTCTCTCTCTCTCTCTCTATCTATCTACCTATCTATCTACGTTATTGCTTCGTTTGTTTCTATGCTTATAAAGCACATGCATGCGTGCATGCATGCATGTTTGGATGGAAGGATGGATGGATGCATGCACGCATGCATGCACGCATGGATGGATGGATGGATGGACGGATGGATCAATGGATGGTTTGATGGTTGGTTGGTTGGTTGGTTGGTTGGCGGCTGACTGGCTGGCTTGTTGGCTGGCTTGCTGGCTTGTCATTGATTGGCTCGTTGCCTGGCTGGCTGGCTTGCTGGCTGGTAAGTTGGTTGTATGTGCACATGCATGCATGGGCAGATGGCTTGTATGCATGCGTGGATGCGTGTACATGTGTATATACATATAATGTATACAGATCCCTCTCTCTTTCTCTCTCTCTCTGTTTGTGTGCATGCGTATATGGCTTCAGACCCCAGTGCCGGACCAGGGCTTCGTGGCGTGCATGCGCGAGCGTGCACAACTCGAGCGACAGTATGCCAGGTCGTCGCCTTAAAAAGAGATTCGAAGGATCATATCATAGTTCCATCTTTGTATTGTTTTTAACACTCATGGTGTAGGACAATCCAAGTCGCAGTAGTAAGGTCTTTACAGGAGGAAAACTTTTTGGGCTAAAACATCTGGTTTCGGGCTTTATAGGGTTTTGTTGGATAGAGTTCGGGGATTTTGAGCTTAAGGGTGTCGGGTTTCAGAGTCCGTAGAGTTTTCGGGCTTAGCTGTTGCGCTGGGTCTCTGTTCACCTGTTCCCATAGGGCTTGCAGCGGGTTCCCAGTTTTGAGTTGTATTTGCTCCACAGACGCTCTCTGGAGTTGGTTCAAAAGAGTATGAGTAGGTCACGCACTATAGAGCAGAGAATCCTACCTTCGGGGATACTTCTTCATTCAGAAACAGATGCGGATCCTATTGGCTCTGCACATGTTAAGTTACACTTCGTGTTTCCTTGTCTGGGTCCTCAATGCCCCTCCTTGTTCCTCAAGACCTAAACCCCGCCGTCCACCGAGGTCTTAAACTCAGTTCTAAATAGGTCGTAGGTGCTGGGGCATATCATGGGGTCCCATGTTGTCTTCACAAGGAGCTTATTGCACAGGGACCAGTCTAAGCCGTAGCCACAGCCCCAATCCTAAAAATTCAAGCCGGTAAACCCAAACTGCATACTATTCGCCTCAAAACTCTCCACCCACAGAACAAGCTCCCGAGCAACCCTAACCCAAACCTCCAAACAAGAACCCGCAAAAACCCTAAAGCCCGAAACCAAGCACAATTTGAGCTCTAAGCAGCAAGACTTGAACTCTAAACGCCGAAACCCTGAGGACCCTAAATTCCAAAACGCTAAACTAATCTGATACCAAACCCTAAACCCCTGGAAACCCTTCGCGCCCCTCTACTAGCGGACCTTTCGTAGAACTTCAGGGGCCTCATGCAAAGCGTTGCGAAGTTGCAGCAGACGACCTCCGAAGGAGTCGTGCACTCGGGACTCGTTTAGGTTTAAGGTTTAAGTTTAGGGCTTGAGCGCTTAGGGTTTCCGCTAGACTCCGTCAGCAAGGTATGGCACAAGCATATCTATACATCCGCAAATCTACATGCCGACATGTTCCATGCTTTATATTTTTGTCTTCAGAACTTTAGGTCGTATACACCTGTATATCTGCATAACTATGACGACATACTTATGTATCTTTATACCCAGGTATCTTTCTTACTCTCTCGCTCTTTATGTACGTGTGTCTAGATTTACAGTACCGTTGTTGTGTATGCTTTGGCATGTTTATGTATTTGCTTAGGCATGTACCTATCTATCTACCTGTCTATCTCTATCTACCAGTGTGTCTTTCTATCTAGCTTGCTAGTAGTCTGTCTGACTGTCCGTTCGTCTTTCTGTTTATCCGCATCTGTACTCATGTATATTTAGATAGATATATGCATTCTGGTGCGCACCCACACAGGTGGTATGCACATGTATTTATGTGTATGCATATATATATATATATGTATGTATGTATGTATGTATGTATGTATTACATATGTCTGTATTGATCGTGCCAAAGGTCTATACGCATGGTGCACACACAGAGGAGTATGTCCAGGCATGTATGTGTGTCAATATGTACAAATGTATGTTTGTGCATATGTGTGCAGTCATGCATCGTGCCAAAGGGTTTACGCACTTATGTCTACATACATGTGAATACAAGCAAATCTAAACAGATAAACAAATGAAATATACAGGTAGGTTTATGGTGTTGCGTACTACGACCTTCTGGTTGCGAGAAGGATCATGGGACGTATCTGCACTGCGGTACCCACATCGAAGGCCTAACCGGCCTAACCCTAAACCCTAAACCTGGCACAAACTTGAGCACCACAGCCCGAGCAGCAACTCGAAACGCACGGTCCTTTCACGTTCTTCGGTCGAGGCGGAAAGGCAAGGAGACAACCACCCCAAAGACTAAGCTGACCCCTAAATTAAACTCCGGACTCAGATGCCAACCCAGGCAGGAGGCGGCTTGATAAAGCCCTTTCACTGGTTTTAGGATCTATGTATGGGGGTTGAATTGAAACACTTACTAACAGATAGAAGGCCAGACGTATGTGTAGAAGGAGTTCAGAAACATCAAACCCTAAACACTAATCCCCAAAATGGAGCTCGTAAGACCGCAAACACCTGAGTCCCAGGCCGTTCCGCTGCCCCTAGAGGCCGTGGTAAGCAACCTCCGCCACAGAGCAGAGCAGCCCCTGGGACCACACCGAAGAACTTAGTGCCCTTTCTACATGGGTTCTGTGTGTTGTATGTCAGGCTTAAAGTCTTTTTTCGACAATTTGCTAAGGTCCTTGATAGGAATAAAAAGCCAAGCATATTACGGTGATGGCATGTACTAGATTGGAGGGTGTCTTTGGCTTGATCCTTTCAGAGCATTAAGAGTATGCCTTCTTTGGAGAGCTCTCTTTGATATGAAGACGTCTTTGTGGACCCAGTGGTTCTTGAGGGGTGGAGGCACGAGTGTTGGTTTTTTGGTTCCGAGTACCGACTTACACAGGCAGCTTGACAGATACATGGGTAGAGACAGATAGATATGATAGACGAGTTGCAACAGTATCAAGCGACAGAGGGCCAAATGCACACTGAAGTTTCCGTGTCTCTGAAAAATATGTTTATACAGAAAAATATATATATATATATCTACATGTGTGTGTGTACATGTATATCTCTATATAGTAGACACATATGTATATCCCTCTATCTCTCTGTCTTTGCCTTTCTTTGGCTGATTCATGGACTTCTGTCTGTGTTGCCTTTGCTTCGGAGTTCGGTAAGACCAGTCATCATTTCCGGAAGATGTCATCCAGTCCCTCCTGCGTGCATTTAATTCGAAAGTATGGCTGCGGGTTGGGGGCATTAGGGTTTGGAGTTGAGGGTCCTGCTGTGGATTGGTAGTTTGGTAGCTGACGGCGAACGTTTCTAATACTAAGCAAGACTCTCAATGGCTAAAGGCCATGTCCCGTAGTAGTACCCAGATGACCTTAGAATGACTTTATCATCCTTAAAACACCGAATAACCGAAAGCACGCGGTGCCTAGGAGGAGAAGGGCCCACACCTTGTCCTCTAGTGAGACAGCTTTAGGACCAACTAAGCCCTGAAAGAGCTACTGGTTCAAGCCGCATGCGCGCGAGTGTAGCTATGGGAGGACCTCGCACAAACGTATTATATGAATGCCCATGGACTTTTCTCCCATCGTCATAGCACGCGCATACTGTTAAGCTTGCTTCGTCCGTAAGGGTTCGCATGCTTCACATCCCGCCAAGATGTGCAGAGCTCGCGGAGGAGTTGGACCAGGCAGCGTGTCGAGACATGGTAGAAGTTGAGGGTATGCCGTTCCAAGGTTTATGGTTTAGGACGTAGGATTGAGGGTTTGGGGGTTTAGGGAAGACATGGGTTTGAGCATTTGGGTGTAGGGTTAACGTTGCGGCTTAGTCCATTTTGAGGCCGGCAGACCTGTCGCCTGCTTGCTAGCGGATGAAATCGGATTCGCATTGAAACCTCCGGGTTTGAGTGAACTTTTGCAAGATACCGTATGACTGTCCATTACCTGCACAGTAACCTTGTACGGTATTACTTTCGTTCACATCGATTTCCCAGGTCATGTCTGTCAAAGAGGCATACTCATACCAGACCATATTGTCGATGACCCAGAAAGCCTGAATCGCGCAGCGGGCTTTAGCTACCACTAAACACCGAACTGAGCCCACGGGCTCCCCAACCTCTAAACCCTAAACCGGGCTCAGTTTTTAGGGACAGTAACTACATCTGTCCCTCTGCCACGCACCAGACCGTGTACCGAGATGAGCAGCCTGAGCCAACTCTAAGTCATTCTTTGAAGCCTTTAGGGTTCAGCGTGTAGGGTGGCCATGCGTCTGCGGCTTGAGGATATTGTTTTGTCGTTACTCACCATTTTTATTGAATGGTTTGTGAGAGCCTTTCAGGTTTTGGAGCCTTCGTATGTCGGTGTGTCCGTCAGAACTGATGATGTAGGGCTGTCAAACCTGGAAGCCTGTGATGAGTTTGAAGTCTGCAGCAAACATGTAGGTTAGCTAGGTGTAACGACCGCTGAACACTAAGCCCCGCAAAACTAATGTTTGTAGTTTAGGTTTCTGTGTCACCCTGCTCTGCTTTGAGGCCCACACACGACAACTTCCATGGAATCCGTCTCTCTTTGGATCGAAGCAGCGAAGCAACAAAGTCTTGACCATTCGAGCATCGGCAACTGGTCCTTAACCCTGAGCTGAAGCCGAAACTGTTTTGAATTACGGAGTCTACCGGGGTCCGGTAGCTGAATCCTTGCGATGGCAAGAAGCGTTGAGATAGACACATGGAGACCAAATCTAGAACCCCAGGGTGTCCGTATTCTCTGAAAGGTTACGACTGCTGGTAATGGCCCACAACTGCTACAGGTTTTGCACTCCGGAATAGGTGCGGCAAGAATTTTTGGCCTTGATGTCTTCGGGCAGGTGTTCGGGTAGAAAGTATCATGAAGTACATAAGCGTAAACCCTAAACCCCAAACACCAAACCCGAAGGGTGCATGTACGGAAGCCGAAAACCTAAACCCACCCTCAGCCCTAAGCCCTACACTCTCAGCACTAACTGCCTAAGCCACCAGGGCCCTTGGAGTCAAGAACAGGAAGCTCTTCTCAAAAGCTCAGCTCTCAACCGCCACATGGCACCCGAAGCCCAAGCTTGAAGCCCGAGCCCTTGTCCCGACTTCGAACACTGTTGCTTTAGGTGTTTAGGGTGATGCTTGAAGGGTACTATAAGGTGGATACTAATTACAAACATCGTTTTACGCAAAGTTAACCGCTGTTGACTTCCGTGGGCCCTCGATCCCAATTCGTTTTGATCTCATGGATGGCCTGCGGTCACCTGCGTACTCTTGGCTGCATGTCTTTGCGGGGAACAGAGTTACTGGTTGAGGGGTGAAAGGTTCGAAACTTCAGTCTGGCTTCAGAGTTTAAATGTAGAGCTTGAGTTTGTGGTTGCCGTAAGATTGATCGGGTATATGTTGGCTCCCGACTCAAGATTCAGGTGGATCCGGCTCATGCAGCAAACTCAGGGTGTCACCCCGTTCGGCTAAACATTGGTTAGCTGATCCTTGCTTGGTGATATGTACTCTGCAAATTCCGCCCGAAACGAGATTTAACATGCCGAAACGAGGTTCAACATCCAAACCCAACCTGAGGTGTCGTCCTATGGCTTCTGCTTTACATTGCATCCACACTTGCGTCAACGCACGCAGATCAGCTCGACAGCGATGTCGACGAGGCTTGGCAAGTTTTCTTATAGGGGCCACAGTAGGGTTGTCGTGTTTGTTTGCCTTTGTGGGCTCCCAGTTCCTGTTTTGTGCTTGTCTCGCTCTGCGCAGGCACCCCATATTCTAGTAAAGTGTCTCCTGATCTTTCTTATCTGTCGCTATCTCTGGTGAATGTGCTGTGCGAGCGACTACAAAATCAAACTCAGACTGCGTCATCTTACGTGCGCATGCTGTGTGCGGGTGTGGGTGTGTGTGTGTGTGAGTTTGTGTGTGTGGGTGTGTGTGTGTGTGTGTGTGTGGGTGTGTGTGTGTGTGTGTGTGTGTATGTGCACGGTGCTTGCATTCGCAGAGACACGTGGCAGTACATAGCACAAGTTCCTGTTTGCAGGGTCTTGCTGTGCTGTTACAGTCATGACACAGCTTACGCTTCCAGAACCTGCGGTTTTAGAGGGTCATTCGCATCAACCCTAATACATAATATAAACCCTACCGTCATCGCAGGCCAAGAAATGTGCAAGCGAAAGTTCCGAAGATCGACAGCCCAAGTCAGAGAACCACCAGATAAGCCAGCCCTCTGTTCAAAGGGAACATGTCGGAGGAGAGTCCCCCAGCACAGCTTCAAGAACAGCAAGAACGGCACTTGTGATAGTCGCAATCGCGGCAAACCTTACGATCACAAGAACACCAACAGCACTAGCTGACAAGACCACATAAGAAATTACAGGATTGCTGGCACCAGTCTGAGCACTAGCAAGAAGACCCCGCAGGCAATTCAGTTTATGTCATGGAGTTTCTACGAACCGACACGAGTTATATACGGAGTTACAACAAGGTTCTATGGCTTGCTACACAGGTTCGATTTGGTCTTGTGGTTTTGAAAGTTTGGGGCTTGAAAGCTTTTATTGGTTGAGGGTTTGCTGGGCTCTACATTACCCAAAAGAAACCTACAAAGCCCGACACGAAGCTAACAACACGGAAGTATACAACCCTAGTAGATCCCTTCGCAGACCTCGACGGAAACTGTCCACAACACCTTCCCAGCCTTCAAAAATAGCCAGCAAGGAAGCGCAAACACCCGCAGAAGCCTAAAGAAGCCTGTTTACACGCCCGCAGAAGCCCAGCTCAATCCCTCAGGGTTTGAATTTGTGCACAGATCTATCGACAAGCAAAAACCAACCCGAAGCGCCAAGCCCCAAACGCGAGACCCTGGCGCCCAAAGCCTGCAGTGGACCCCAAGGAAGCCTTCAGCTTCGACCCCAAACCTTGTCAAATCTTATCAGGCCCAGTGGCCGCAGATAATGTACACCACAACCCTGTTCCACTCATTTAACTTCTTAAGTTGCGTCGATTGAACCCCAAGCTTGGAGCAGCCGAGGAAGAGTTCGAGCACTTGAATGCCCTTATGAAAGAATCCTGGTCGCCAGGCGAGGTTGGGATGATCTACTTAGAGTTGTGGGATTTGGGAAAACAGGGTTTAAAGTTCGGGTTCAGGGTTCAGAGGTGTAGGGAATAAGGCTTAGGAGTTTGGGGTTGATGTTCAGGGGTTTCAGCTGTGGGAAGTCTCTGAGGATTGGGGGGTGGGGGGGGGGGGGGGTCAGGGCTGAATTATCGCTTAAGTTTTCAGGATTTGGGGTTTAGCGCTGGGTGATGGTGCAGCGTCGTGGTGTTTGCATAGTTGAGAAGAGCGTTTGGCACAGTTAGTTGAACAAACTTCACATCACAGTAGTGGTTCTAGTTGCACTGCTTTACTACACAGTGCAGTAGTGTTTTGGAGATTAGGTTTGTGTTGTGGTTGGCACTAGCATGAATGACAGCTGCGACCTATCCTGTCTCTACTCCTTTACGCACCTCTACAGTTTTGAGAGAGTTAATATAACAGAAACGAAAAACACATCAGGGTTTGCTGTTTATTGTCCTTTTCAGTCTACAGTGTGGAGACCTGTAGGTTTCAGTCGTCAGGGGTGTCCCGTTGTTTCGGCCTGTTTTGAGTGATTCAGCTTCTTCTGTATGATTAATCTCTCCCCTTGCTATTGCCGTTCGTATGACAGCCCTTGTTTTCATTGCGTTCTTGCCCACTTATGCATTACGCAGCTCGAAAAAGCACAGATACTACAAACCTGACACCTGCATTCAACCCCAAAACCTAACTCCAGACAGACCCTACTTACACCCCAACCAGGGACCCTCGAGCCAGACCCCCAACCCTGGCCCTAATCCTTGAATCTAGACCCTAAACCCCAAAACCGAATCAGAAGCGCCGAACCCTGAGGCCATGTACCGGAAGAGTTTACCACTCGGGTCCCTGTCAAAGACCTTGCCTGCACCAGTGAGGCGTGAAGTGGTAACAGCAAAACCCTACACCTTAAGCACCCTACACACCCTCAACCTTGAGGTTGCGAGTTTCTTTTGGTGCTTAAGCCCTCAACTTTGAGGCTATGAGTTGCTGGGGGGCTCAAGCACAAGAGCTTGAGGTGTTTGAGTTGTTTGGGTATTGAGGGTGTGAGGATCAAGGCTCTGGGATTGAAATCATTTCGGGCTGTCGGAGTCTAGAGTGTGTCTGCTTTTTGTTAAAGGGGTGGTGGTTTGGGTTTTAGGGTTTATATTAGAGGTCTTGTCGGGGGGATCGCAACTGTATGCATTTAGCCTATGCAGCATGTGTTACAGGCGAGTGTCTCTTGGCTGCTGAATCACTGCGAAAGTTCAACAAAGCGAACACTCGTCGTGCAAAAGAACGTGTCTACAGGTCGTGTTACCGGAACAGGGCAGACTGCAACCAGCGGTTCTTGAAACCGTGGTTTACATTGCCTTCTACGCTAGAAACGTGTTTCCTTACACATGCTGATGTTTGCGGTGCGCCTGGCTGCTTTGGTGGTAAGGTCATAGGCGATGGGCAGATCCAAGTCCTCTACGAGCGTAAGGCTTGCATTTTGCCGACCTCATCTCTACACGAGAGTTTTTCTCAGGCATCTGAAACTTTCAGCGTCATGTTTTTCTGTCTACAAGAATAGAAGCCAAAAATCGCGGCCGCA